CTGTTAAGATAGTGGAGCAGTCCATTCATTTATGGTGAAAAAAAATATATGTATAATTAAAAAAATGTATTACGAATATATATATTAAAAAAGAATACATCTTTCTCCCTAGCCATCATTTGCCATATAAAATCTGAACAAGCTCCATTATATTTGATTTGGTAACAAAATGTATATTTATTATTAGTAGAGAGATATGAACAAAATGAGATAGATAGATAGATATGAACAGACTGAAATAGATATATCAATAGATATGAACAGAGATAGATTGATATGAACAGACTAAGATATATATACAGATATGAACAGACTGAGATATATAGACACAGACAGATATATATTAGATAAAAAGGGTTGTCAAAAAGTTTTTAATTCATCCTATTTCCTAAAATATCCAAAATTACCAAAGATCAGAATTTTAGGAAATAAGAATTTTTTCTTGTGCTCAGAACTTATCAGCAACCCCTCATCTCTCTAAACACAGACATGCACACACACACACAAACACATATACATACGTGTGTGTGTGTGTGTGTATATATATATATATATATATATATATATATAATAACAACAAAAAAGATTGTGTTTCACCAAAAATTAACTCATGTCTTTTAAGAAATATATGATTTCTTTAAATAAATTCAATTTTTCTCTCAAACGCACAAATGAATGGACACCATATGTTTAAAAATCCAATTCAGGCATGGTAATGCTTTTAATAAGTCATATATTTTCTTGAATTTTCTTACTTTATATTTTCTTACAAATAAACAGATTTATAAATGTTCTTTCCAGAATAAATTCAAATAATTCTACTGTGTTAAATATTTCAGAAACATATATCTACAAAAAACTAAATATATATTTATGTCATGGAATAAAGATAAGATATTGACGCTAAGAGCATAAACAACTCTATTTTTCTTAGAAAATTGTTAACTTTATGTTAGTAAACCTGTTCAAAATCTCAAGTAGAATAAAAGACAAATGATATCCTGTCCTTGCTTTATGCTAGCAATTGAGATTACTTTGGGAAAATTAAAAAAAAAATTGATTCCTGATTTTACTCCATTTCTTCTTGATGCTCAAAACTCTATGAGATTTCCTGAGCTTCTCTCTGAATTTGTCACAATCTGAGAGAAACTTGCTAGAATATTGATCTTTTAGTCATTATTTTTAAGAGCTAGCACTTTGCAAGTGCATAAAACACTGGGTCACAAGTAATGGCAAATGGCATGGCTTCATAAAAAAAAAAAAAAAAACAGGTATCAAGCATTTAACTGGCTTGTTTCAAGAATTAGCATGGAGGCAGAAATAAAGACTTTTAGTTGAATTTTTGACAGTGGTTGGGTTCAGTTCAATTTTACACCATTACCTTCATCATCATAGTCATCATCATCAACAACATACATAATATTCAGCATAATCATCATCATCAGCAGCATCAGCATCAACATAAGCATCATCATCATCATCAGCATCAGCAGCAACATCAATATAATCATCATCATCATAATGTGCTGTGTTCAGAAAATAAACATCCCTATAATTCTAGAAACATACACACAACCCATACACCCAATTAAAACCAAAAATAAAATCATCCTTGATAATGGCTAAAAAAAGTATAGCCAAAAGTGCTTGTAATTACAGAACATTTGTGTCTACTCTCTCTGTCTAGAAGAGAAAATACTTGTTCAAACACAACAAAAATTAAATAAAAAGCTTAATCGTAATACCTTACCATTGTCTTTAATGAAACACATATGTGTGTGTGTATATATATATATATATATATATATATATATAAAGTGAACATAGAAGTCAACACTTAGAGGCGACAGTCTGTTTCATGCTATATGCAATCGTCAGGCCACGTGTTTCTGTTATTTTTTTCAGCTATTTATACATACGGGTCAGTGGTGCATTGTGGGTAGTCTATTATGGCGGTTATTTTACTCTAAGTCGTTTATTTATTTATTTGGGTTAAATTATTTTACTTGTTTTTAATTAATTTTATTTTTTGTTTCTTATTTTATTTATTTATTTATTCGGCGTTTTTATTAATGTAGTAAAAATTTGTTTATATCACTTATTTATATTTTGTTTGTTTGAGAATTTAAAAAAGCTATTTGTTTGAGTTTTGTTATAGTTTATTCTAACTATTATTTTGGCAGGAACTGTTCCTGCCAAAATAATAGTTAGAATAAACTATAAACAACCCACCCCAAAAAACCGAACAAATAGCTTTAATTAAATTCTCAAACCAAAACATTAAAAAAAATTTAACCCAAATAAATAAATAAATAAATGACCGGTAAAATAATATAATAGATTACCCACAATGCACCACTGACCTGTATATGTATAAATAGCCGAGGAAAATAACAGCACACGTGGCCTGACGATTGCATATAATAGACTGTCGAAGCCTCTAAGTGTTGACTTCTATGTTCATTTTTATATTTTCTATCTCTGATATTGAGCACTTTATCCCATAAATATAGCACACCTTAAGACTATATTTCTTCATATATATATATATATATATATATATATATATATATATATATATATATATATTTACTTGATTGATTGAATTGACAATTTCAAGGAGCATGAAACCCAGGGTTCACATCAATACCTAAATATGTTATTTTTGATATTGAGTGCTTTCCAATAAGTACTGTGTATATTAATATATGAATGATATATATATATATATATATATATATATATATATATATATATATATATAAGAATTAAAAATATTGTGTTTTGCCAAAATAAAAATGTTTTTAAGATGAGGAGTTTTATAATTTAATACTTGATATCAAGAGATAGAATATTTATGATAAATAAAATCAAATATTCATTCATGCTGTTTCTATTCCAAGTTTCACAAAAATTACATCCACATTTCAAAGATTTGATTATAAAATTATGACCACTATTCAGTGGATGTAATTTCCCTGAAACTCAGAGTAGAGTTTCATGGAAATCACATTTAATTTTATTTATTATGATCTGTATTGGCTAACCAAAATGTTTTTAAATTTATTGAATAAAATTAAAACATATTTGTTTTAATTTTTCACATGAATGAGTCTGTGTCAAAGGATGGTAAATCACTGACAAAGAGGTATGGTATATAATAAGGTACTTGGAAATAGAAAATAACTACCTTTTTTATCTTCACTCTCCAGCATCTGTATTAGGCATTAGCATATCTGTGATATACTAACACCTTGACACAACAGAAGGGAAGAATAGATTAAATGAAATAAATAGAAAATATGCATATTTTTTTGAAAAGATTTTATATATGACATACATGATATATATATATATATATATATATATATATATATATATAATGGACTCTCCTGTCGGTTTCAATGTATGAGGATTGACAAAAACAGACAACGCCAGGGATAAAGGTGTTGGTTAGATCCAGTGACAGAACCCAAAGAGTGTGAGTTCAATACCTGGTTAAGGCAGTGGAGATAACTGATAACTGACATCCATTAAACATGGCATGTGGAACTAGAACAGTCTACCTCATTGAGCAAAATAAAGGGTTCAGTTCAACATTCCAACCACCTGAAGAAGGCCAGAGCGTACAATGGCCGAGATGTTGTAATAAATATGGCGACAAAGATGAGGACAATAGTCTGAATAATGTAAATAATGTAGCTATGAATATGTTACTCTACCTCCACCTAGCTAGGGGTTAAATAACATGGTCGATCATGCTCTCTGCCCTTCGGTGGCAACCAGACTTAGAAAAGGATAACTCTGAATTTCAGACTGTAGAGAAAGTAATGCAGAACAAAATGAAACAGCTCCACTATCTTTCCCAAAAAGTCATGGGAATTCACAGATAATAAAATAAAAACAAGGTATCTGTTGAGAGATATGACTGTCCATGTCCTGAAAGAAAGTAGTATAAAAAAATGGGTGGAATTCACCATCATGATTTTGATTTTGTTTTATTCCGAGTAATATCCACCTTACATTTCTCTTTTTACCCAAATCCTTTGAAAATAAATGCTTTCTCAGTAAACGTTTATTTGCCTTTTGCTTACAAATATATATATATGTGTGTGTGTGTTTGTGTGTCTAAAGACAAAGTTGATTTCAACTGTTAGCTGCACTTCTCATTTAACTGCTTTCTACTCCACCTAGACCAACTAATACACATCTTATTTTTTTACTTTTTAGTACTGGAGTGGGGGCAGGGGTCTCATCTATCCTCTCCTCCTCGTAAGAAAATGAAAATAAAAGTGGAAATTTCCACAGTTGTCGATTGCTTTCTCTCTGCTCTCTTCTTCTTTTAAGTAAGTTGACTGGACTGACATTTAAAGCAAAATACGCCACCTCACTACGCCAACAGACAACCCGACATTCCATACAACCTTTTGTCCTCCCTGGTCAGTTGGTCATTGGAATATTCTTGCAAGACACTTGAATCTTCTGTTTGAAATGGCAACTGTTCCCATCCTTCACCACCGGTCTTTATCTTCTCCATTTAATACTTTTCATCTTTTGATTTTTTTTTGTTTTTTAAACTCTTTATCTTTTGTACTTCATTTTCATATTTTGTCAAAACATATTGGACTCTCTAAATCCTTTTTGTCCCAACTTCTCTTTTTCTTTGTGTGACCGTCCTACTGTCTAGCAATTTTTACCTGAATCTCTCTGTCTCTGTTAATCTCAAGATAAAGATATTTTTTTCTCCTGTTTTATATTTTAAGTGTTCTTTTCTCTATCATTTTTTCGCTAATAATTGTTTGCCTTATTGATTCACTCAAGAAGAGACAAAGAAAGAATAACTAAGAGGAAAGCAGAAACTAAAAGTAAAACAGAGTATTAATCAGAATTTTTTTTTTTTTTTAGTAAAGTGGCAAATCGAAAAAGATAGAAAAAGAATGTTCATTTATAGTCCTCATTTTTTTTTTTTTTTTTTTTTTTAACTATTTTCTCTTTTTCAGTCAACCTTTCTTCTATATTTTGCATTCTCTCCTTATCTGTTCTGTCATCTTTTTTCATTTTGCTTTTTCTTTCTCATCCAGTCCAATTATTTTAACTCTCCAGTTTTCCATAATCTTTTGCTTTCTTCACTTTTTTAGGAAAATAAGTCTTTTTTTTATTTTTCGTATTTCTCTTCTTTCTTGTTTTAGTTTCTTTTTTCTGTTTTTTTCCTCTTTCTTTCCCCGATCCATCAAACACTAACAATATTTATCTTCTCTGCATTTACTTCATTGTATTCTGATTAAAAGTTTTTATCTCTTTATTTATTTTTACAAAAAAAAAAAAATAAACAGAGGATATAAAAAAAATACTAAAGTAAAAAAATATATCAAAAGTAACAAAAACGATTAGAAATAAACAAAGAAAAAAAAAACCCTGTCAAGGTGAGCCCACACAGAGTAGCAGTTAAACTGAAATAAGTGACTTGGTTATGATGGTTTGATGGCGGGGTGTGGTTCATAGGGTTTTACCGGATGAAGATTTTGTAAGGGAGAGACAGATTAAATGATGGAAGGAGACAGCAAGGAGTGGGCGGTTAGAGACTAAGATGGTTCAATAAAGAGACTCAGCCTTCCAAAGTACAGATCAATATAAAACATCATTATATCAATAAACTGTGTGAGGTTTTCTATTGATTGGTATTTAGACTTGATCAGCAACTCATTGACTGTGTCCTATTTTGATCTATCTACAAGCATTTTTTTTAACTTCCATGACTGGTGTTCTTGTGTTTCAAATACAAATGCCGGCATGAGGAAATTATTTCATTCACTCTCCACTCTGACACCAGCACAGTGCTTATTCAGTGCTTCATGTTTATTATTTAAAAAGAAAAAATATTTCTGTTACTATTATTCAAATCTGCATGTTTATGAAACATATGAAAAAAAAATCAGTTATTTGAAATGTGTGTTTATTTTGGAAGGTGAAAAAAATTCACACTGGCATGACTGTGAATTTTGGTACAAAAGAGTAGAGACAGATTTTGTTACAGGCAAGTGATCATGTTTGTACATCAAAGAAACGTCTGTAATGTCATTGGTGCTGACCTGGCATCTCAACTTTAGTCACTTTCCCACTATTGTAACACAGCTTCACTCTGTCTTTTCTATAAATATTTTCATAGTAATTGTTATTTTCTTGTACTTCTTACCTGTGGAATTCTATTTTGGTGTCTTGCTTACCTGCCACCTAAGAGCTTCACAAATTAAAATGTAACATGAGTCACCATCTTCTGTCTTCCTGAACCCTGTTCTTTTATTGTCCTTTCTACTGACTAATGATTTTTCATTTATTTACACTCTCAGTAACCCCTTGCATCTTAATGGCTTTAGTGTGTCTAAAGACACAGTGGAGTAATGCATATTGAGGAATCGGGAAGCTGAGTTTGAATTCCAGTTGAATCCATTACATTCACTTATGTTCTAATACCCTTAGGAAAGGTATGAATCCTCTTCTTCTCTCCCCAGCTATGGGTAAATAGCAGGACAGATTGGGTTATGTAGCATTGGATGGTAACTGGTCTACTGCAAAAAGAAATGGCAACCTACTGTGGGAAAAAATCTGCCTTGTCAGTCATGTATCAAAAGATATATGATTGCCTAAGTATCACGCATGGCACATAACTGACTGACTGTGTTGAAAACAATTTGTCAGTTCCATTTTTTTTGTTTTTTTTATCATTTATCTTTTACTGACAATCCACTTTTTCTGGTTCTGCTGCAGATTTTGCAAATAATCAACCAATATTCCATAAGTGACTGACTTAAGCATCATTTCATGGACTTTCTATTCTATACAGTTCCCAAGTTCACAAAGTTTTGTAGTTCTCACTTACGTAAGATCTGCTCAAAATGCGTGAAGTTCTAATGGTGTTTGGTGTCTTGTTCAACATTTGTTAAATCTTGATCCCAAGATCCTAATACTTCATAATTGTCTCACTGTTCCGTGCAAGTGTCTGTGTTTATACAGCAAAGAATGGTCTGTAAATATATTCTTCCTGACCTGACATCTTGACTTCAGTTACTTTCCCTCTGCCATAACGTTGCTTTTTTCCCATAAGATTTCAATGGTAAATGTTCTGATAAGCTTTCCACTTTGGTACCTCGACTTTATGAATTTAAGTTCATTACTTGATTGGCAGATAGGTCTCATCATTTCATAACTGAAATTGCAAGATGAAACTATAAGTTTTGTTCTAACAGTTTCTTCTTTTGCACTTTTCAATTCTAACTCTCTTGCAACTTCTTGCTCTTCACCTTGATCATCAAAAATTTATATGTAATGCTAGTTATTAATTTCTATTTTTTATTTTGACCTCTCTCCTTAATAAAGTGTTTTTTTTTTCAAATTCTTTGAAACTCACTTAGCTCTTGTTGCTTAGTGGCTTTATCACCTTACTTGGGCTTAATTTGCTTATAATTTCATTATCTGGAATTGCAATATCAATGAGGATGTAAGTTTAAGCTATTTTGTCATTTATTTATCTTGGGCCACTAAGACAAATTTATTAACTTCTTAAAAGTCCTGTTCCTGTCTTCATTCAAAATTTAGTAACCTTTTTATATCAAATGCAGATTTATCCTATCAGTTGAAGGGCTAAAAATAATGTTACTGCTAATCTTAAAAATATGCACATATTTTCTGAAATCCCAGGAAATTTATAGGACTTCTTTAGCTCCTGTATCCTGGTCCCACTTTTGAACTCTGAATTTGCACATGGTATCCTTGCTGTATCCAACTCAAATAGATCTTATGACCAGAGATTTTTTCCCTACATAAATTGTTGCATTGCTGATTATTATTAAAATATCATAAAATACTTTTTTATATATATATATATATATATATATATATATATATATATATGATGTCACACATTATGAAATGGACAAAGTCCAACATTTATTTTAAAACATTTTTATGTTTAACATTCTCTTTATAGATACAAATATTCTCGGACATATATCGGACAAAAAATCCTGTCGGAGGACGAATATTTTCTGTGAAAATTTCTCGGACATTGAGGCCGGTAAATGTTGTTTAATACTGTTTATTATAAACAGAGCATTTACTTAAATATTTGTATCTATAAAAGAATGTTAAACATAAAAATTTAATATATATATATATATATATATATATATATATATGACAGGGGAGAGAGAGACAGAGATAAAAACTTCATAAAAGGTACTATCTGAAAAGTGTGTGTATATATATATATATATATATATATATATATATATATATATATATATATATAAGGGCCAGCTACTTGTTTCTAAGCACATTAGTCTGCTATGGTCAGGATCCAATCCCTGTTAAAGACAGTTGCTCAGGCACATTTGTATTTGCTCAACATCCTCAGAGCCCACCTCTGGTTTATACTGCAGCTATGCTGAGTGGATCTTACTTAGAGTTTCTTGGAGAGAACTGCATAATCTGGTATGAACAAGGCCAATATGCTGAAACCATTGGTTACAATGGCTTGTGACTTCATGCTAGCATAAACATTGATGGCTTCCAAGCAATTTCATCTACTCAATTTCACTCTCAAATTTTGAGTCTCTGGTATGGCTTTCAGGCACTTTCCATTGGTGCCGCACACTGGGATTGCCTCTTCAAGTCAGTAACACAAAGTAGTCAATTCCCTGAGAAATCATCTATAGTGACATTCAAACCCAGTGAATATTCCAACCACTTGGCTACATGTCCACTCTTTTCTCCTCATATTGTGACTTTTTGTTGCAGCCTTAACGTCACTGTTGCATTTTTTGATGGTTAAGCAGGATGAATCAGAATTAAAACCTGAATTTCATGTCTTATTAATTGAAAGTTTATTTTATACAAAAGGCTTAGAAATTGAAAGTTTTTTTTTTTAACCATTCTTTTCTATGAAAGTCTTATGGATTGAAAGTTTCTTTTATATAAAAATCTGATATAATTGAAACTTTTTTTCCTAACAATTCTTTTATTCAAAAGTCTTATCTATTGAAAGTTTCTTCAAAAACTATTCAGTGTTTATAATAAATATATCAATACAAATTCTGGCTTATTTCTTTACATTAGGTTAAGATTCCAAGTAACTTTGCCCATCTTAAATGTATGTATCCTGTTACTTTTAATTCTTTATTTTATTTTTTCCTCTTTTGTATGTCCTCCCCAGTCATTTTATCTTCTAACCCTTGCCCCAAAGTGTATCTGTATGTGTATGTATATATATATATATATATATATAAAGTTATTGGTCAGAGTTGAATTAAACAGTAGTATTAAAAAGTGATCAATACACCTATTAAGAAAATAAAATTAAATAAAATACAAATTTAACATGCAGAGATTTTAAATTTGAAAAAATTTAGGAGATCAGCCGATCATGCTACCTTTTGATGATCTGGACTAACGCTTTATTATTTAAAAATAAATAAATAAACACACCAAACAAAGTGTATCAGAAGGAGATATTTCTGTCTGAAACAGGTATCAGTACCTCAATCTCACTACAGAAGCTTACAGTCCCAGGCTACTCAGCCATAATAGACAAACATGTCCACCTAAATCATCACAGACAGGGTGTCTACATCAAGGACAGGTTTCTCTGTGGTAGGGATACAAAAAATGAGGACCCTGATCTTTCATATATGTGTTTCTGTACGGCATTTATGCATAGTACTACATTCGTTTTTGCTCTCTATCATCCTCAGGACAATGGGACTAATCTTCAATCAGATATCTGAGAAGATTGATAATATCCTCATGGGATTTTCTTGAGATAGTTTTCATATCTGCAGTGACTTCAATATCCACCATGAAGAGTGGTTGGTCCACTTAAACAAAACTGATGAAGATGGTAGATATTTTAGAGACTCCTCCATCGCCTATAAACTAGCCCTGATTAATAAAGAACCCACCCATGTCCCTGAAGTGATATGACATCAGGCGAACATCTTTGACCTCC